GAGTCTGCGCAGCCACAGTGGCTCCAGTTCTAGAGTCTGGCAACGCTGACGGTATGTCATAGTGTTAGGCATGTTCAAAAATCTCTTTGTGAATGATCTTTGAATGTTTTCTAGTGTTATGATGTCCACTTTTCTCAGACTACCGTGCACTATCGTACAGTGTTCAAACTTTGGCCTAACACATATTTTAAAGGCTTGAAACCTGGAATCCCTTAAGATAAGAGTTCGACTTATGTAGGCGATCACTTTTCTGGCAGAAGCCTACAAGAATATAACGCTCTAAAAATTAAATGAGGCAGAATATATTAGACCAAGGTCTCGGATTACGCCACACACAGGAATAATGGTATCGTTCAAGGTTAGGATGTTCGGAGAAAGGCCACAGCCGTGGTACAATAGATTACACTTGTCAGTGGCAAAGTGCAACTTCCAGGAGTTACTCCAGTGCTCCATTGCAGATAAGTCAGACTGAATACAGGCTAAAGTAAGACTACGTTACCTACTACTGTAAGTCTGACATTTTAAGAACGATTAGAGTATCGATAATTGGCAATGTTTGTTATAGCATTTTTATCATATTCTGATGGGGCTGCATACGTTTATATTTCTACTTGCTCCACAATACAATAGTCAGTCTGTGACGTCATGTGTTCCGAGAAGGCATCAGCAGTACGCCGGTACGCAGTACCGACTCTTCGCTGCCACACAGCCATCAACAGTCACAGATGGGCTAAGGATACTGCGAGATTCGCCCGGTTCTTACGCAGGCTCGAACCCGCGCTCTCAGAATACCAGGCAGGCTTGTGATTCTTTAGGCCACGGACCGGGTGCCTATTAATCACCTATCTCAGTATGCAGTATCTGCCGATTCCACAAGGTGTTGATCGTGTGTAATGGCTAAATGACGCATGCTGCTGGCCAGTGGTGCAAGCCACCAGCGATCACGAGTTCGATTCCCTGACGGGGGCCGGCAGCATGCGCACCACTGACGAGTCCCAAGAAGACGCAATGGCCGTCTGCTGCCTTTCCGCATGTTTACTTAGGCTATTTAGTTTGTAAGCTAATTGCGACGCGCTAAATTATTCACCAACATGCTTCCACTCACTAGTTCTGTTAAGTGTTACTCGTACCCAACACCGCGCTTCATAACCGAGTTTGCTTTTGTTTTGGGCTCTTTAGATCACGATAGTTGAACTGAAAGTCGAATTCTGGACAGGATGCCAGCAGATGGTCTGATGCTGCATCGCGTGGTTTGAGTCGCTGCTCTGCCTTTTCTATCCCTAGGAGTGCTCGGGAGCACGGTGCCGATCGCAGAGTTCACTTTTGCCAGCGATCATCAATTAACATTCATCTACTTTAAATACAGCCTGAGTGACCAAGTTAACTCATATTCACCGCAAAGTGGGTCGCAGTTCAGACTAGCTTAGCGTGTCATAATGTACTCACACTACAGCCTGACCCTCTAGACAAAACCGATGGAGGCTTCTCCCCCAGTCACTCGTATCACATCTGCGTACCCCCATGCCATCTGCACCCCTAAGCATCTGACAGCTTCGGAACGTCCATTAACCAGACGGCTCGTCCGTTACGGACTGACCAGTTGTAGCGGGTCATTGCTCTTCAAATCGATTGACGTCACCTGTCGCTTGCTTGCTTCTGACTGAATCACCCAGCAATGTGTCGTTGGAAGCCCTTCGGAACATCAGAGCTTTAAGATACTGGAGTCAGCCTCTGGAAGACTTATGGAGACTATCGAGTCTGTATGACCGAGCGGCATCGTTTGTTATGTGTTTGCAACTACGTCACTAACTTTTCACATCAAGAACACGTGTCAGTCCTTCTGCCTGTTTCGAGTGATCAATTTGACATTCGCCAGTTTAATGCGATCAAATGTAAAGTAGTGAACACACACCACCCTTGAGCATTCGTTTATCCGCTCGGCCAGCAGCGTTTAAATTGCACTTCTCATAAGTGCAGTCTCGGAGTTCTTTTCCAGAACACCAGCAATAGTTGCTCAACCCTTACGGACCGCGTTTGGACAGTTCAACTGTCACCTTTATACAAATGTTCATCGCTTATCTGAAGCCTCATGTAAAATACTCTTTGTACATATGTTAGTCCTGACAAGACATGAAACTGTTGCACTTGTGGCTCCTCAACGAAGTACGACTGGAGCTGTTAGAGACATCCTCTATCTGCATTGCAAACTTTGACTGAAGGTCTCATATACTTTGCGAATGCAACTATCAACGTATGCAAGGGTACCTTATAATGGTATCAGATCCTCAGAGTCACCCACCATCATGTTGTCAGCTGCTGAACCTCAGACGCAACACTACCCTGACAGGCCACCAGTTAGAGTTAACCGCACAGCTAACTCGGTTGGAATACCGCCGGAATGCTTTCTCCTCTTGCGTGCGCTAAGTGTCGAACGCTCTTCCGATCCCTGTTACTTCCACGCCTAAGTTGATCGAACTCAAAACGCGACTGACTATGCAGATGATATTACCTTGTTCACGGACGACCCCTATATTATGCAACTTGGTAATTTAATCAAATCCGTATGACATGGCTTTTACCCCGCGAATTGCCAAGTCTGGGTCAAGGATTAACATGCACCTGCCCCACTGCTGACTCTTGAAGGCACGCAGCTTGAACTGTTGCATAGCTCCATATAACTTGGAAGCTATATTTTTGCTCTTCGTATCGCCAAAGCCCGATCAGCATTCGCCAATCTGGTACATCTATGTCGTCACCGGTACGTTTTACTCTCGGTAATAGGCAGGGACTGCAATGTCTGTGTTCGCTCGGAGCCATTATACGATTGTGAGTACTAGTTGATTCATGTGAATGATCTACCTCGGATTTCAATCTTTGACAACGGCTGTTTACTGATGATAGCTCGTGTGTAGTGGGGACGCCAGGTTTGCAACGATGATATTAAACGTTGCGTTCTAGATAACACGGCTTGTACCGCTGCGTAAGTTGAGATGACTGGGGCACGTCCTATGTACGCCGCACGACCGACTTATAGGGTGCGCTTTATGCGCTCGCCTGGAACTGCAATGATGATACTCGCGCGGTGGTTAAATTACCACATGATGGCAAAAATTCAAAACACTAACTTCCAAATTAGCTGTGGTCTGTTCGTGCATTTTCCGGGCTAGGTAGAGCACGCACTGCTGGTTGGAAATCCTTAGGGACGCGGCGCAGGGTTGGGCCATCAGAAGATAGTTGTGAATTTGTGTCTTCCTTCAGATGATCAATACCGCAATCATTAAACTGACGAAAAGGATAAAATGATGTGTGCAAAAACAACACATATTGTTTCCATGGCTTTTGGTGCCTGTATATTTGTATTACAGTCCTACCTGTTATGACGACCACCTGTCTTTGGCGACCAGCTTAAAACGTCCCCAACGTTTTCTCCGATGAGTAATGTCCCTATGCACGAAGCTGTCCATGGCGGCCACTTTTGTCGGTCCCTTGAGTGTCGCCTTAGACAGATTTAACTGTATGTGCTATCGATATTAAATACATACATGTGTTACGCAACTCAACCTAAGTTATCGGGACACAGCATAACAAATCCAAACTACGTTCACATGTGAACTTCACTTTGGGTCTACCGGCAATCGCTATTTTTTCAACCTTTATGCTGTTTGCTTTTATTTTATTTACATACTAGAATTGTGAGGCATTTGCCTTTATCACCCGCAATGTGCTGTTTCATCCACTGTTAACTTCCTTATTCCACTTTCTCGATACACAGTGCTTTTTAATCTCTTGTAGTCCGCCAAAAGAAAACTCCACTGCTGCTGCTGCTGCTCGCCCCTGTCTTCCAGTGTACAACGTCAGTGCACAATTCGAGGTACGACGCTTACTGAGTGATTTGCACGACGCCTGGAAACGATTCGATCCGTTACAGGCGGCTCTGAATCGGGTTAATCGGCAGCTTGATATTTTAATGCAATCTCCACCACGGTACGTTGAACTTGTTTATTGAAGTATAGCTTTCATTTGATTTGAAAATAATATCGTCCCCTCTAAACCACTTCCAGATTTGTCCACCTATCTTGCATCAGTAACATGCTTTTCATTGCTTTCACTATTTTATTGCGACTGACGTGCCATTTTCCCTTTCTACGGATTTAGAAGAATTTGTTATACTCCACATCAGTGCATCTTAAGTTGGATCTTCCAGATGACATCAACATCTCACTATATGGAAAGTAGTATCTGGTGCTTGTCCGATATTTCTACTTTGCGTACAGTTGAGAGAACTTCCATGTGGCGACACTTTATGTTCTTTGGTTTCTGAGAATGCCACTAAACGTATATCCTTCATCAGTTCACCTTCACGTAGGTTGTCGCAGGCCAACACGACTCACGCCGAATTCCACGAACCTACATGTCAAAACCTAATGCATCCCTACTTCAGAGTATCCAATAATTTGTGTCATCTCGCGTTCGGCTGGATCGTTTTACCTTCATCCTTTTCCCAGTTTTGTTGTTCGGATGATTACATGTTTCGAAATCCATCGTTTGCCACCCCAACCCAATCCTCATTTTGGGGGTGCAACTTTCATTTTGTATGCAACACAACAATTCAGCTTATATTTGTTGGCAGTTGATCACTTTTGTGTGATACAAGCCTGCCATATTTAAGAGATCATTGTGTTCGGCTACCTAATGGGATCAGTCATCTAATCCATTGTCCATCGACGGACCTTATTCATTATGTTAACGCGTCTTTTAAATAGTACATTATCTTACCGAATATAAATCCGTCCATGGATAGGCCGAGAGTATAACTTTGCGATATCAAATTTGTCCAAAGTTGCAAGCCCCTATGTTAGCCGACCCACCTCCCCCAAAAAGAATCAGCAACAGCAGAAACGAAATTGTTTCTCTACGCTTTTGAGGTCATCACTACCTGCTCTAGCTTGATGGATTCAAGCAAAACTTGCCCTACTTATGAGCAGTTGTGGGGACCGTAATATGTTAGCGCTTTTGATTCCCTGTCCACAATAGCGCTAACGCGACTTCACATAATCCAGCTGGGAGGGCATGTGCGAACTTCCAAAGCCGTGCAAACGTGAAAAAATGTCTCAAAAGAAACGATGCGCCTATGCCTGCTGACATTAAATTGAAAGTTATCACGTTGGCCGAGCAAACTAAGAATTTCCTGGCTGTACCATTTCACCGTGAATGTAAATCAAGTGAGAGACTGGCGAAAGAAAAAGAATTATCACTAGTGTCCGTAGGCAAGGAAGTAACACGCGGTAGAAAAGCCATGTTTTTTGCACTGGAGGCGACGTTAGCAGATTGGGTTATGGATTCACGGCACAGTGGGTTAATTGTTAACCCAACGAACATTTGGGTGAGGGCGCTCATAATGTTAAACGATCCTGAGTTGCAACCAGTCAGTAACGCGTGGTGCTATAGGGAAATATCAACTGTAGTGTGCAATGAATTACTGGGTATATTTTTCATGTAACTTTTCAAATTACTTATAACCTTTTTTAAGCCGATCCCCCTCTACAGAAATGAAAAGTTGTCCAAAAATGATCGGCTTATATTCGGTACTATGCGGTATATTAAAGGTCATCAGTGGTGGGCAGCGCTTAGCACTAATCTGTGAGAATCGTATCCCACTAACTTATTCGCGCAGTTTTTTTTGTGAACCCACTACTCTCGTGCCTACTACTTGCGACTTAGGACGAAATGTATCTCACCAGTACCATCTGCTTCCGATCACCGACAAAGGGATAGAGGCTTGTCAACCACGGGTTGCCGGTTCGAGGCTGCGTAGGTTCGAACTGCCTCATTGTCCATGACCGAATGTTAGCGCAGCCCTTCCAAACTCACCAGAGTTCACAGACACCAGTACTCTATTGGGTCGCTATGCAGAGACTTAAACTACGCAGTTCAGAGCGGAGCTTTCCCTATGGAAACGGCAGTCAAGGGCCCACTCATCTGCACAGATCACAACGGAGTTGTCCTCATTGAGAACGTGGCTAATGTATCCCGCACAGTTTCCACTGGACTTGCCCCAGCGTCACGACTGTATCTACCAGACTTTCCTCCAGTCAACCTTCTGCCTCCTGAGATGCGTTCACACAAATGTCTTAGCTATCCAGCACTCCAAACAACTGTGATGAGTCCAAAATCTCAACAACATCGACCCTACCCAATCTTTGTCCGTAGATAGAGCCATCACATGGAAACTCATATGTCAGCAAACGTACGCCTTTCCTTATAGTTTATACATTTCTGCTGTTTTAGTGAACTATAAGTATGTGTAAAAAGCACGGTTGCCTTGATTTCAGTAAAATCACTCTTACTATTTGCCAGTCTTCTTTCCGCGGGACTCTTTACGGTTGTGCAGCGTTTACACCTTACGTCTACTCTGTTACGAGTTCACGCCTGCCGGCTAAGTCCATAAGTCGTTCCAATTCGAATCGTCTAGGTTACTCAGCGTGTGGGAAACAACGAGTGAAAGAGTTCATCCGTTTCGACAAGGACAGTCGAACCTAACTAGGCCGTTTGTAACACAATGCGTCCGAAGGAAGAGTAAAATTTCTTACCTTAATTCAACTGGTCCTTTGGTTTTCACAACACCTTCAAAGTGACGCCTTCTCTTTCATGACTCGATGACTAAAGTGGTGAATACTTCGGCTGACATCCCAAAGTGCTCCCTCTTTCGTATTTTTATTCCTATCGTCCGGCTCCAACTTCACTTTTCCCTGTTTTCAACCCCCAAATCTTGGCCCTAACCCCGTCTTGCTTCAGTAGTCGCTCGTCTTCTAGTTACAACTCACGTGCAACCGCAGGAATTCTGATACCTGTCCAGCTACTAGCGCTCGTGGGATCAAAGATGAGGTTACAAACCCTATAGCAAAAGCTCTAGGTGCTTTCCCTATTCTCCGCCTCCTGTGGCACCGACGCGGCATCACTCTCACCCTGAAGGGCTGAGTTTATGATGCATTCGTCCGTTCAACCTATAATGTTGTGAGACCTGGCCTATCAGGTAGACAGACATAAAAAGACTAGCGACGTTTCACCATCCTTGCATTCACACCTTTGCTCACCTCTGGTGGAAGCACTGCGTGAGTAGCCAACGTGTTCGCGGTCGGGTATTTGGTGCAGGAAGAGTGACTGAACCGGTCAACACCATTATATCACCAACCAGGCTCCGATGGCTGGGCCACGTGTTGCCCATGCCAGCCCACCGACTCCTGCGTCGTTCGTTTGTGCATCCGCGGTCTGGATAGAAGAAGGAGGCCAAGCATTGACGATCTAGAGAATTGAAGTCCATCCTTGCGAATTTGGCGTCGGTTGGTTCCTCCTGACTGCCGGGGTGAAATCCGAATGACGCTGAACACGTTTGGTTTGACATACTTGTTGATAGGGCGAAAAGCCAGTCCCAGTAGCGTTTATGTTGTGAATTTCTTTGTCCATCCCCCTCTCCTTTAGATTCCCTCTCCAATTACATCTCATAACAAATTAATAATATTGTTTTTAATATTATATCACTTGCTGAGGTGTGTTTCTCACTCTTAGCTAATGTGTATTGGTTCCGATGATGAATACCTAACATTCATATGCTTTGATGGGGTTCTAGTGTTCGAGTTGACTGAGGTTCACTGCAGTGCAAATCGTGGTTATGATTGAGATTGCAGGTCTCGGAATACATTCACTCAACGAGCGCTTCCGGTTGACCCCCATACCTTTCAAGCATCGGAACGAACAGTGAGAACCACAGGTCTTCTTTGCAACTAACGGTATCCAACATTGCCACTAGACCGGTAATCAGTGACTAGCCATCCCGATAGACAGTAATAGAAAAATGCCGCTCTTCTTCGAACTAAGCGATGGGCCAATATCGTATTCATTAAATACTGGGAGTTATGACTGATGTTCCGTTTCAGTTCGAGTGATAGCGAACCGGATGAATGACTTTTCACTGCTCGGCCGGCCTACAAGATGACGTGTCTGACAGTGACTCATCTACCCGCCTTTTTCAGCTAATGTCTCACCCATTCGGGTCTTTACCTATTCCGTACTTTTAGTTAGTTCGTACAGAAGTGTCGGCATTCTCCCCCTCGCCATCTACTCATGCTCGCCTCACTAGCGGCTGCCAGTCTGACTCCGCTCTAGTGTCGGCCGGTGACCGAATGGTCAACGCATCTATTTTGAAACCATAAGGTCAGCGGTTCGAGTCCGCGTAGGGGTGGGCGTCCTCGCGGTGTAATCAGCCCGCGCGCGACTTGGTGGTCACGCGGCAGTGTAGATCGAGGGACAATCTTGTACTGACATACACCACGTGGAACTAATGGTAATGTGTTCATCTTGAATCCAGATCACTCTGTGGTCCTTTGTGTACCATTCGGTTTGATGCGAGTGATCGTAGGGGGAATCTGTGCCGCTTCCGCAGAAGCTAAGTTAGTCACTTGTGTCCGTAGACGGGGTGAGAACGGAACAGGAGAGACTATTGACACCTACGTCTGCTGAATACGTACCTATCCTCAGCTACTCTCCGTGCTCTGCTCTGCTCTTCCCAGTCCGCAGATCGTTGAACATCCTCACGGACCCGCTTGCGGGCCACCACATGCAGCCTTCTAATGATTTATGAATGACTTGGTCATGTGACACATTAACAAACACGGTCAACCACAGATGAGTTCCGTTTGAGTTCGTACCGTTTTGTCCGAATGATTGCGTGTTTGAAACGAACAGTGGCGTACCAACGGACACTGATTTGCTCTAATCCACGACCAGAGAACCGTTGCTGCTTACATTCAGCGGTATTCGAGCTGAGTCCATAAGCAGATAATTCCCGTTGTTCTGGACTGCTTCTGGATGTGCGACTTTGTCACATTGATGTCAAATTTTCAGTATTTTCCTATGAACGCACCTGGCTACTCTCTCCGCTGTTGTTGTGTTGCTCATGCAACTAATGAATCAAACAATAGCGCGTAAGCTTACCTCAAGCTTCTGATATTTTTGCACCGGCGTATTCGCTTAAAAAGACATCACCGCTGCACTCGCACGAGATCCACCTCAATCTGCCTATTTATCGTCCATGAACTATGTCGTTCTGTTGCTATTTGGTTTGATTTAGATTTACATCCTAGTTCCTCATGACAGCCTTCCCACGTGTCTGGGTCAGTACTGGAATTAGTAACGGAACTTGTGTTCGGGTGTTTTCTTCTGACATTTTCGATTGAAGCAAACTCTGTCTCTCACGAATGGGACATCATGTTGGAACCGGTGTTGCAATCAGAACTAACGGTACAAATTCTTATAGAGAACTGGACTAAATTCCGTAGCAGGTTGCCAACAGAAATTCGTCTGAAAGCAGCAGAAACACCACCACCTTCTAGTGACAACTTAGTGGAGGCGCAACTCTCATTGAAAGCACCAACTGTATGACCTGACTCGGTGACGGTTTCAACACTAGCCATAACATCCGGAGGAACACAGCAAAGCACGAGCGAACACCGGGATCCGGGGCATCTGATACTTAAATATACACCAAATTCGTCCCGAGTATCTGCAACCTATCCAAAAAAACGATTAGCCGCCAACCTTACATCGGTCGGCGTAAACCCACTTGCTTCATCCATCACACCCAACACACTTTTGGTCTCCGAGAAGCTCCCATGTATGTACACAAATACCAAAGGTCTACTCAGCAAATTAGCTGAATTAAGACTTCGACCCGCGTCAGCAGCTTGGGACCTCATCGCTATCCCGGAAACGTGGTTGCGCTGGGAGATAACGGATGCCGTATTCGCGCTAACAGGGATGTCCGTTGTCCGGAATGATCAAGCCAGCGAATGGGGTGGGGTAGCCATCTACTTTCGTAACAACCTGCAGTGCGAACCCGTACACGCTTCGGAAACCGATGTATTTGACTCCATTTGGTGCAGCTTCCGGCTGAGAAGGAACGATCTTGGCCTAGTGATTGTAGTTTACCGCCCACCATCGTCTATACCTGAGATGGACTGCGACTTGGTGGCTGCATTGAGGCAGGTGCTAAACAGGAAGTACCTTCACGTTCTAGTCGCCGACGATTTCAACTTACATGCTCTAAAATCCTAGGCCACACCAGGAAAGCAATTCAAAGTAGACCTGCAAGATCTTGCCTCAGATTTGCAGCTTTATGGCCACGTCACTTCGCCCACCAGATTCAGGGGAAACAACAGGCCATCCAAATTTACCGAATATTCACTACTGAAGGACTGATGGTCGAGAGACTGCTAATCGATACTCCTCTGGGCCTCTGATAATGTAACTTTGCATTACATGTACACTTGCTATACTGAATATCCCGAGGACCGAACTCAACCAACGCGAACCGTAACCAGTTACGACACCTTAACCCGACTCGTTGAAGCGACCGACTGGAGTTTCCTAACCGAGGCCGCACCCGAAATCGCCTGGGAGCGTTTCGGCAGTAAGTTTTACACTCTGGTTAGTGGAGCATCGGAAACCAAGACTATCAGTACGGGAAACATGGCGTCATTTATATCGAGTAGGACATGCAAACGCACGGTGATGCGCAACACGGCGTGGTATACCCACAAAACCGATCTGAGTCCGAGTAACTGGAAGACCTATGTTGTCCACCGTAAACACTGTACCCAATTAGTGCGCGAGGACAAAGTAGCTTATCCCCCCGCTTTAGCCGAGCGATTAGCGTGAACAGTCTCTGCAAGGTGCAAAGTGGTTTTCCCATTCTTCAAACACCAGATGATCTAACTCGGACTGCTAAAGAAGCTTTAAATGTTCTACAACAACAATATGCACCAACGTTTCATTGCATCCCGTTGTCTCCTGAATCTTTGGAATCTATGGTTCCAGCACTACTTTGACGAGCGGCACGTTCCTGCAATGTGGAAACACGGAATAATAACTCCCATTTACAAAGGGGTAGTCGTTCCGACCCAGCTACTTATCGACCAGTGACTACTGGTAGTTCTTTCAAAAGTTATGAAGGCTATCATTGCCGACACACTCATGGCTTATCTGGACGGCTTTGGTTGCATTGCTCAAGAGCAACACAGCTTCCGCCAGAATCGGTCTTGCACAACCAATCTACGGTTAGCACGAGACAGCTGTACCGAAACTTTGGAAGCTGGTGCAGGAGTTAATGTGTCTTATCTTGATTTCTCTAAGGCATTCGACCGGTTGGACCATCGCGTCCTTCTCGCCAAACTTCAAGGATGTGGTATTGGGAACCCTCTTCTCAAGTGGATCTGCAATTTTCTCTCGCACAGGCGTCTGGAGGTGAGCGTACGTGAATCCGTGTCACACCCAATACACGTCGAATGCGGAGTGCCACATAGTTCGGTACTGGGCTCCGTTTGCTCTTGGTCTTCATAAACGATCTGGTTAATCAAATTGCGTCAAACTGTTTACTCTACGCCGGTAACATCAAAGTTTGGCGAGTGATCTTAGCTCCAGAAGGCTGTTTCCAGCTTCAAATCGTCCTTGACAAGATTTATGGATGGTCGGTCTAAAATCGCCTTTTCTTCAATGTGACTAAATGTCGAGTGCTCCATTTAAGACACCGAATGGTTCACACATATAAGCTGGGGGACCAGGATATGCAACACTGTTCTCTCGAAAAGGATCTCGGCTGCTCGGAGCAGTCCAAAAAGGCATCGAAGAAGGGGATACAAATCGTGGGCTTTTTATGGAGAGCTTTCGGGCAATTCGGACCGTCGATTTTCCGCCAAATACTTCCCACTTCTATACATCCTCATGTTGAATATGCAATTCAAACATGGCACCCATTGCTAAAGCGCGATCTCACGACCTTGGAGCTTCCACAACGTCGGGCGACCAAAAATGTCAAGGGGCTGCGCCACTTGTCATATGAACAGCGCCTCAGAGTGCTTTACATTTTCTGTGGACATTATCGCCGTTTGCGTGGTGGCCTAATCATGGCTTACTAAATAGTAAACAACACTAATCACCCCTGCCATCACCTATTGTAGTTGAGTCACAACAGACAACTGAGAGGTCATCATCTCAAATGGGCAGAACAATACAGTCGCTTAGTGTGTCGAAAAAGCTTCTTCTCCATGTGTGTTTACCACACTTGGAATACCTTCTCAGAAGCTGTTATTTCAGCCCCCACGTTAGCCATGTTCAAAGCATGTGTCGAGAGTGCACTGACCATATCACGTAATCCAAACCACCCATACAAACAGTGGAAAGCAAACCAACCCACCTCCATTTTTGCCCGGAAACCACAGACAATAATCTTGGATAGTACATAAAATGGACGGGAACGCTGTAATCGGCAAGTTCGCAATTTGCGGTTATTCACTATTTCCTATTGCTATTTTTGCTTTTATTTTGCTCACTCCTAACCGATCATCCGGCGGGACATGTCAAGCTTCGGCTTTTTTTACCTGCAATATACCATTGACCATCATAACTTTACTTTGTAGTACACATATCTTGTAGCAAATGTATTCAGTTTTCAACTTCATTATACAAAAATCGTGTAGCGTCGTTTTGTGAGCCGCTGCTCATGTGCTTCGTCGCACGTGTCGCGGATAGTTAATTCCATTTGCACGACTTATATGGCATTTTCTGTTTTCTCCCCCAGACATGGTATTTTTCTCGCTGGTCCAATTTAATTTGTTCTACAATGTTCACTCAGACGTTTTATTTGACAAATAGTGCGTGCTTTTTTCTGGTACCTATTGTCCTCTGCTGCTGAACCCAGTTCGGCGAGACCAGGGGGTCGGGTGGGTAGGACAATGCGATGACGTGGTAACTGAACAGGAAAGTGTTAACCCGTGGAACTTGGTAAGGTCTCGTCTTCCTAGTTGTGAGCTTCGGGTTCTACAATACGAGCTGTTGGGGGCCGTTTGGTCTGTTTTATTTGAAATTAACGCTCTTTTCTTTGTAAAGCGTGGTAAGAAAACAAAAGCTGGTCGATGCAAGTTATAGCTCATCTTCCTTACCTTATTCAATGGTTGTTACCATAACGATGCGAGCAACGTTGTCTGTTGTCCACCGCATCTCGGTATTCCGCTCTCTGCTTATATCTTCTGTATCAGGGACTCGTATTTGACCGAAGCTGAACGTCGTATCCTCGATTGGCACTTAGCCAACCTGGAATTCGCCAATGCCACTGAACTGAACAACTTGTCCCTACGCCATTGGGATCAAGACGATATGTTTGAATTGAGCGGCGAACATTGCATCATTCGAGACGGCTACAGTGCGCTGACGGATGCTCTGGCCACCGCAATCACCACCTCACAAACCAGCCTCGTTGCCAATCAACCGGTCGGCGTTGTTAATTCCAAGCAACGAGATTCATCCGCTTTCGCATACACGCTTGGGTCCGGTCATATAGAGCTGAAAAGCTTGGTCAAGCGTATACTCTATTCGGACAGCGGTAAGCTAAAGTTGATCATCCCTCCACTTCACATCGAGTACTCTCCACATATTGCTCTTTATGAATCCATTTCTCCGACTCCAGGTGTCCGGGTGGAGGCTTTGAACGCCGCGTTTAGTCAAGAAGATCTTATTGAGCATGAGGCGGACGCCGTGATTTGTACGCTTCCGTTGGGTGTGCTCAAGGAATCCGTTCAAGTCATGGAATCATGGCTGACGCAGCCGAAAGACACGGATGCATCGGATACTGGTGTTTTGACAAAATTAACCGCTCCTGTCTTTGAGCCTCCTTTGCCAACTTGGAAGGTGGATGCAATCAAGCGGTTAGGATTCGGAGTTTTGAACAAGGTGAGGAGTCAATTTCCTTTTCCCCCACTGCTTTCACTGTTATATCTTTAGATACAACCTGTCTATAGGCATTGGTTTCGCATGCTTCCAATTCTACTCATTATGTGCGACTTTGTAGATCACAGTGCCGGTCTTTTAATTGCACTGCTGAAATTAAACTGACTGATGCTGTCTTCCCGTCCCTATCTTCTCGCCGAGCTTTACGTGGAGCTACTTGGATCGAGACCTTATTAGGCCTGACTCACTGCTGCCACCAGTGACATACTGGCTGCCTCTTGTTATTTAGCTTGTACATTTAAAGTATGCACTCCAAGCACCTTCAAAAGTGCCTGCGACTCTGGTGCTCGATGTGTCTTTTGGTACTGACGACTCAGGATGGGTGCGTCCGAAAATTTCCTAAACATTATCAGGGCGCTGTATGCGTGCAGTTCCGACAGAGCTATAGCTTACGGCAAACTGTCACTGCCCTACAAAATTCCCAGCGGTGTGAAAAAAAGGATGCCCACTTCCACCTTTCATTTTTAACTTTGCCGTCGATGAAGTGCAGGAAATCGCGCTCGCTGACCACGACCTACAAGGTGTGGAGCTACTTTCAGGTTATCTGTTTTTTGTTGTTGTTGGAAAATGGCCATATTTCTCAAGAGCTGCACTAGAATTAGCCAAAACCATTTACTTTTTGCTAGCCACCACTTTTTGATTTTTAACCGGCACGCGCTATCGGTTTCCGCTTCAAAACGAGCATTGTGATTGGCTGATTTGACAAAGCCTTTGAGGGACCTAGACCAATCATGAGTTTTCGTCACTTTCTGGTCTGTCTCGTGTTGGTGTGTGAATAGATTTCGTACCTGAGGTCATGTCTTTTCCTACCGGGGTTGGGGCTATTGATTGGTGCCGGATTTGTGTTGCATTTGTAATTCTTTGCCTTGATTTTGTTGCGAGTGGTTCAGTTTCTCCCGTGCGTGTTTATTCCGAATTGCGTTAGTGGTCGTAGGATCGCAACAACTCGGCGACAGGCCCCGCTTTCTCAATGAGCATCGACAGTGGTGATATCAAGCTGATTCTGCAGCCGCAGATGAGGCTGATGGAGTTGATTACTGAACGTCATGCCGCGTCCTCGCTAGGACAGTTTAGCCAATCCTTCATCGCTGAGTCTAGTGTGCAAGCTGCCAACAGTATTACCGAGTTTTTTTCGATCCTGGGGCCAACGTAACCTTTGCTTCTTGGTTCAAACGATACGAAGACTTATTCCGCGTTGGGTTTGCCCATCGTGACGACGCAAGGAAAGTTCGCCTTCTGCTCAGCAAACTCGGTTCCGCTGGACACGAATAATACTCCAATTACATTCTACCACAGAACCCACGCGATCGGTCATTCAATGAAACGATACAGACACTTAGACAAATATTCGGTGAGAAATCATCACTTTTCCATATTCGTTACCAGTGTCTCAAACTTGTGAAACGTGCAGCAGACGATTTCTTCACTTATGCCGGTGTGGTTACTCGGGAATTCGAACGCTTTGCGCTACGCTCTCTCCAGACGACCAGTTTAACTGCCTCGTGTTCATTTGCGGCCTTCAATCGCCAAAGGATGCCGATACACGTACGCGGCTTTTGGGCACAGTTGAGCATGATCCCCAGATGACGTTACAAACTGTCACTATTAAATGCCAGCACCTCATAAATCTGAAACACGATACGACCATGATCCAGAATTCTGACCGCCCTCTCAGTTCCATTTACTCTGTGGAGGATTCCAAACATCCTGTCGGCACTAGTCACCCACCCCATTTCGCCATTAAGAAGACACCTCCATCTCAGTGTTGGCACTGCGATGAATGGCACTTCCTTCGCTTTTGCTCGTTCAGACGCCAGCGATGTCAACGGTGTGATACAGTTGGCCACAAAGACGGATTTTGTCAGACCCGGGCCAGTTTCAAGCAGCCCGTGAAACCGAAGCAGCGATCAAGACGTACTATTAGAGCAGTTCATTCCCGTAGCCTTCTAGCTACATTGAAATTGGATATCGCTTCTCGCCGAACATTTGTTTCTTTAAAAATCCATGGCCATCCCACCAACTTTCAACTAGACCACCGCATCCGACATCACGATAATTTCTAAGGAGCTGTGAAGTTCAGTAGGTAACTCATCTTTTCAAGCTACCAGTGCCTGTGGTGGTTTCGTTCGACTTACCGATCACCTTTCTTGCTTCGTCACCTACGGTAACACTACAATCAACGATGTTTGTTGTATTTCAGACTCCAATCTCACTCTTCTTGGTCTGGATTGGACTGACAAGCTGAGTAGTTCCGCTCTCCCACTAAATGATATCTGCTGCTGACTTTAGGCCCCATCGTCAACGGTTATTTTCCATGATTTCCCCAAGACCTTTCGCGAAGGTCTTGGCTGTTGCACACCGACTCAAGTAACTCTCTGGTTAAAGCCTGTTTGTGTTCCGTCATTTCGACCAAAGCGACCAGTACCCTATGCTACGCTGTCCTTGGTGGATCAGAAACTACGCCGCCTCGAAGAACTGTGCGTTCTATCCCCAGTGACTTATTCTCCATGGGCAGTGCCAATTGTAGTTGTCAAAAACGCAAGTGCTTCAGTTCGCATATGCGCTGAATTTTCCATCAGATTAAATGCTTCTTTGGAAGACCATTGTCATGTACTACCATTTCCTGAGAATATCTTCACCATACTTAACGGAGGAACTTGTTTTGCCAACCTGGATTTAGCTGAGCTTATTTGCAAGTCGGAGTATCTCCGGACTCTCGATAGCTGTTAACTGTCAACACGCATCGCGGTTTGTTTCAGTACCACGGTCTACCTTTCGGCGTCAATTCAGCTTCTGCTATTTTTCATCAAATATTGGATTCCATTATCTCTGGTGTAACCGGCTCGGCAGCGTACCCGGATGACTACATTATAATGGGTCGCACCACTGACGAGCTGCCCGGAAGGATATCTGAGGTTTTACGTCGAGTTAAGGAAAACGGGTTCCGGCTGCAACCAGACAAATGCCCGTTCTTCCTCTCCGAAATCAAATACCTTGGTTTCATCATCGGCACAAATGACTACCGTCCTGACCCTGAAGATGTGCGTTTCCATAGTTGCTTCCTTTTTAATGTTCGCAGATTGCATTTTCATCGTCTCTTCGCTTCGACCGATCGTCGTACGTCAATTTCACGCGAGCCATCCTGGTGCAGAACGAATGAAAGCCATCGTCCGAAGCTACGTCTATGGCCGGGTATCGACCAGCAAATAGAGACGTTGGTTCAACAGTGTCGCCGCTGCTGACAGCCGCCAATAACTCTGCGCGTGGCCCCCCAACCGTGGACTCAATCTGATAAGCCGTGCTCTCGCCTACACGTCGATTTTGCTGGCCCAATCAACGGCATTATGTATCTCATCGTAATCGACGCAACGTCCAAGTGGCCCGAATCATTCCTCTCTCACATGCAACAACATCGTCCACCATATCTGCCCTTCGCAACATTTTCAGTCAGCATGAGTTTCCAGATATCTTGGTTTCAGATAACGCAACCCAATTTACATCGACACTTTTCGAAGATTTCTGTCGTCGGAGTGTTATTAACCATGTCCTCACCTCACCTTACCAATCTCAATTAAATGATCAGATCGAACTGTTTGTGGGCACTTTCAAACGGGCTCTCTTGAAAATGCGAGGGAGGGAACTACTGATGAAGGCATTCAGCATTTTCCTCATGCTTTACAGCAACGCTTCAAATTCGGCAGCATCAAATAGATTCTCTCCTGCCGAATACCTTACGGGCAGGAAACCACGCACCATCTTCAATGCAATGTTGCCGCCGGCGAAATCATCACCTACCCCAGTGCAATCATCAAGGAAAACATTCTCAACTGGTGAGTTGGTCTGCGCTCGTGATTACAGGCAACGTCTTCCAGCATGTGCCCAGCAGTGGTCTCCGTGGTTCTGTAGTGTATGGAGTAACGGTTGGACTGCACAAGTGGGTACGACACAAAAATCATCTTCGCCCACGCCATGACGTCACAGCCACTGCAGAAGAATTGCCTTTCGAAATACTGCTAGGCACGTTCGGCCTCATCCCTAACCCATTGACTGAGGCACCAAATGCACCGCCCGAACGGGTCTCCCTGCAACCCAAGAGATAAAACAATCAACAAGGTCATTGCAACAGGATCCCCGGCTTCCTAGATCCGAGTTTCCTTAATAGCGGAGGTGTTGCGAAATGGCCATATTTCCCAAGAACTACATTACGATCAGCCAAAACTATGGACATTTTGCTAGCCATCACTTTTCGATTTTTAAAGGGTGCACACTATGTGTTTCCACTTCCGAACAAGCATTGTGATTGGCTGATTTGACAAAGCCGTTGACTGACGTAAACCAATCATGAGTTTTCATCACTTTCTGGTCTGTCTCGTGTTGGCGTGTGAATAGATCTCGTGCCTGAAGTTTTGTCTTTTACTTCCGGGATTGGGGCTATTCACTGCTGCCGGATTTGTGTTGCATTTGTAATTCTATGTCGTGATTTTGTTGCGAGTGTTCAGTTTCTCCCGTGCGTGTTTATTCCGAATAGCGTTAGTGGTCGTAGGACCGCAACAGACGTGGAGTATGCTGACGACATTGTCCTTATATGTTACAGCCCCCAAACTTGCCATGCAACACTGGATAAATGAGCATTGGCTGAGTCATTAATGGCTTTGCTTTGAGCCCTCGAATTGCGGTCCTTGAAGATTGGCAGGGACTCACCCTGCGCTTATTCTTAGCGATGATCGGCTAGATCTCGCTTGGGAATTCCCAAATTTAGGCAGTTATACCAACGCCAGTGGGATAGAGGATGGTATCATGAGCCATATAACAAGAGCTCTAGTCGCTTTTACCAATCTCCGCCACCTGTGGCACCCTCGCCACATCACTCTCGCGCAGTAGGCTAGAGTTTACAATGCATCCCTGCTTCAAAATCTGGCCCATCAAGTCAACTGGCAAAGGGG